AGTACTAATATTGCAGAAGATAGAGAGAAAGTGTAGATTGTGTGATGGGTATAATAACATTTTTTTCTATCACTAGAAAATCACCTTTTGGTTGTTCCAATTCTTCTGAGACCCCTGCGACAGAACAGTCTGATGACATATAAGAGTTTGTAGTCTTCTTCACCCTTTATGTTGTTTGGTTTCACCAAAAAGTACGTTTTCTGCCTTTCTTTTTTCAAGTCAGCAATCAACATTTGGATGTTCTAAGATTTTTTCTTGTGAATCTTTCTGTAGTTAACTTAGCTTGCACTCGGTTTAATTTCCATTTGTAACTCTACATTCTCTTGTGGTAGGTTGACCTGAGGAGGGCTAACAACACGGAAATTATGCTCACAAAGGTGAAAATGCCACTTCCTGACATGATGGTAAGAGACAGGTGCATATTTGCTTGCGACTTTTTACTGTGTTGATCTGCTGGTTCAAATTTTTGTTCTTTCCATTGACGAAGTTTAGCGCCTTTGATATGCTTCCAAGAGTACTTTTTCTTGTTTATTTAATATGACTATTCTTCTCCTCCCGATCCTCACTCATGAACTAAGCTGACACCTTACAATTTTTCCTATAAGATTTTATTTGTGCTGTACATCTGTTTAATTCTTGATACATCCTCTTTTTAAAATTGTCATATATGCACATATGAAATGGGAATGTTGATTGGACACTCAATTTTTATTCCTAAGCAAAGGAAGCAAAAACGTTACATGCAAAACTAACGATGAAAGACCAAGAGAAACAAGCAAAAGTTGATAAGAGAATAATAGAAGACACCAAGAGAGCTAAAAAGTCAGATACGCTTGTGATATATAAGCTGAATAGTTGTTACAGTGATGATGTCAGAGTACTTATACAGGATGGAAAGCTTGTTTCCAGAAATGGGGAAAAAGATGACGGCACCCTTGATGAACTGCATGCTGGGCGCATATTCCTTCGAAGGAACATAAGAGTTAAGCAACAGATCTTCCATAATCAGATGTCATTAAGAGAACAAACAGTGTAACTTAAAGTTTTCAGAATTGGAACTTTATTCACATTAATTTTTTGAATATAGGCACAGTAATATATATAACGTGAGAGATGTCTGGCTTATTTAAACAAGGATCCTAGCTAATTATATTTCTACAATCAAGGATAAAATACTTCTAACAGCTACGACTAAACTAAATTAGGAAAGAATCAAATATAAAGAAATGAAATCAGTTCCAGCACCGTGTTTTCCAACAGAAACCGAATGGTTTTATTATGCCAGATCAGTTTTAGTAAGCCTGTGCTTCTGCATTAGATCTTTTTCTAGTCTTCAGTGAAGATTTTTTACACGTTTACGTAGAATCTATAGGTGAAATTGTTATGCCATCCAAGCTTTATTTAATCTTCTACATTCTTGCTTGTTCCCTTTATATTCAAATGACAGCATTTGACGATCTATGTTGATAGGCTGCAGCACTTGCAATGGATGAATCAATTTTAGATGCTGATCAAGTAGAAAATCTCATAAAATTCTGTCCTACAAAAGATGAGATGGAACTTCTAAAGGTGAAGCTTCATTTGCTCAGAGATTTTGCAGTCTCTCATTTTCCCAAGGAGCAAAAAAGTCCCTTCTGATTGATTTCCCTCATGATGAATTCTTTAGGGATACACAGGTGACAAGGAGAAATTGGGGAAGTGTGAACAGGTCTGTGAACTGGATCATAATTTATGTTATTTCGTTGATGATATTTGTTCTTTTGGGATATGAATGCATTCAGCGATTTTACTCATTGAAGCTAATCATTTTTTCATCACGTGTTGATGATTTTTATGTATTTTAACAATAAGATGTAGTTGTAAACCTAGATTGGAGATCACGTTCCTTCTCCACTATGAAGGGACATTATTGACATGAGTATAAGAACTGTTTTTTTTATTGATTTCTGGAAATACTTGGAAAGCTGTTTAGACATTGTTTGAGCCATTGTTTTTTCATCTACTGAGATAAGAAAGTTCTTTAGAATCTTAGATTCTGTAGCTAGCACTGCATTGATATCTTTATACTTGTGTATTCTGTTCCTATTCTTTTGGATTTTTGATGCATGAAAACTCCATTGCTTGTGCACCATGGAGGTAAAAATCCACACACATTTGCAACAGTTAAGCTATATACAGTTTAGATTCATATCCAACAATCAAGAAATCATAATAGAAATCGAGACTTACGATACAACAAAATGAATTCTAGAAAATTTCATTGAATACATGAACTATCTTCTCAATACCATGGATAACTCATCCATTGCTTTCTTTTCCATACTACCCAAATATGCACAGAGGTCCTGCATCCCAAACCCACTAAAAGCATTCCAAGACATAAACCACAGAGAAAGCCATGAAATATACGTGGTCTATGATAAACGGACAATTGTAACTTGGTTCTAAACATACTAACACATTTTTCTCTTTCCCAATGCATCAAATCGCATCAACATTCCCACATGGACTTGTCTCTTCTCCAGTCAAAATTCTGATATTTGATTCCGAACAGTATCCAAAATATCGGACACGGCAACAAGCATTCCTCAGAATATTTAGCAAACTTTTTGTAACATGGTTTCTTATCAGGATTTCATGTTATAAATGTGTTGTTCCAACATAGGATAAAAGCCTTTTACCAGGACGTCAGCTGGTGAGCGTGAGATTAGAAGCTGCAAAAAACTAGCTTTTTTCTCATACAAGTGTGGCCTGAATCTTCAAGGTTTATGCCTTTGGAGAAATGTCACTTTTCCCACAGCACATGCATTTGGAGTTTTTGCTGCCAAACAAGTCCTGTTACATGCCATGATTTTCGTATGTTGGCTGAATCATAGTCCTTTATTGGCAGTCATTTTAGGCTCTTGGATGAAATGTGATATGATTATTGATTTCACATAAAGTGCTGTTATTTAAGGGAATAGATTGAAGAGAATGTGAGAGGACAAAGGTTCTTCTCATTTGATGGAGCTAGAATAGGTTGAAGTTATGTTGTTTGCCAATGAATTGTCTTTCATTGAAGGTAGCCCTAAGCTGGTTGAATAGGAAATCTCAGTGCTTTGGACCAGAGATGAAGCTAATCAAGGTTTATATGGATGTTCATCTATTGCTGGTTGAAAATGTTTTTGAGTCTGTTTGACCTAGGCCATTGAGAATTTCTGGAAGGGATTATTTGGTGGAAAACCACAAAAAGAAAAAGAATTGGTAAGACATGGAAAGCTTGTTTCTAACCATGAGGTTTCCTGCTTATTGTCATAATTTTTTGTAGACATTGCCATTATCACAGTTAGTGATGTTTATTTTAGATAACTGGATGAATGGTGGGTCGAGAACTTGAATTTTATGAAGTCACAGTTGAGAGGCTGGAGATTTTGTTATATTACTAGGCGAGGGAGGAAATGGAGGAAAGAGTAGAAATTCTGTTAGGAAATAAATAATTGTTCCAAATTGAGGCAATTGTTTTGAATTTTTTTCTGGTCATTTAAATTTAGTGTTGGTAGGTGAGCATGCACAAGAATTGCTGACTTTAATTCCTTTATTTGATCTTTCTAAATGTTCCTGTGCCTCTTTTGGAGCAATTCTACAGTATCTTGACTTGCTAAAATGGGGTGCAGGAAATGGTAGATGAGAGAAACCATTTTTTGGCTGAAAAATTAAGGTCATATTCTTATTACTCTAAGGAGAAAGATGGTGTCTAGCATAGGAATCTAGTGCAGATGCATTTTGGCATCAAGATCTAGCTTTTCTCAAGTTAAGTCAATCTTTAACATAATTTACCTTCGAGTATATCAAGCCTAAAGTGCACTTCTCCATTTTCATGTAGAGCAGTTTTTCCCTCAACACAGTAGGCTTATGAGTTTTCTTGGTAATATTTTGATTCAAGCAATCCAATTAGATATTTACTATATGTTTGAGATGTGAAGCTTGGTTTTCCAGGCTGACGTTTAAAACATTTTGGTATTGTTATTTTGGTCAACAATGGGAGGTAACTGATTTTCAATAACCCTTAGGCATGGTAAGATTTGCTGGTGAATCATCCTATATGACTGTAGTCAACAATTGTATTCCTAGAACTGTGTTAAGGTTGGAGACTAGGTGTTCCATAAGAAATTAGGAATTTTTTGCTGATTAGTCGACAATGTTCCTATGTGTTTCGCTTCTATCTTAAGCTCATTATTGCACTGAATGACACCAAGGTTTGTTACATAATACAAACACTTGCCGTGAGAAAGATAAAATCGAAAAGGCAAGACTTGGGCATCAACAAAAATGGGATCAGCCTGATTAATGCATTTTCAGTAGATTTTTTCAAGTAGATTCTATTAATGGATGTTGGCTGATGTATTGGCCTCTCAAAATGCATGAAACGAGCCTGAATTTGAATAAAGCATTGCTTAGTGCAAATTGGATTTAGGTCTATTTAGTATCTGACTTTCCAGAAAATTAAGCATACCTGACACATATATTTTGCATTATATCGTGTATTAAGTACTTCCTGAATATGTATTCATATTGCCTACCTAACATTGTCTGAGAAATATACCTTCTGAGTTTATGGAGAAGCATGTTCTATTTGCTAGAAATTTCCACTAAAATTTTTTCAGCAGTAACGAGGTTTTCTTGACGGCAAAATTAGGGGAGATGATCCACAGATTTGCATTCTTGCATGTTGTTTTCCTCTTCTTTAAGTTAAAAACGTTTTTATTATTTTTAACATTGTTACATTTTCTTACTTCTCCTTCCATCTTTTAGTTCTTCCTGGAGCTGATGAAGGTGCCTCGAGTGGAATCTAAATTGAGGGTTTTCTTATTCAAGATTCAATTCAACGTTCAGGTTTTTTAGACATGATGGGTCTTTTTAAGTAGCGATATGTTCCCCTCAGGTATCTAAGTATGGCTTTTTTCTCAGGTTTCGGATTTCAAAAAAAGCTTAAACACTGTAAACTCTGCTTGTGAAGAGGTACATCAGAAATGCTAATGAATTTTCGTACTTTTTACTATTTCTGGAAATAATTTATTTCTCCCTTGCACATTAGGTGCGGCAATCTCTCAAACTGAAAGAAATCATGAAGAAAATTTTATTTCTAGGAAACACATTGAATCAGGGAACTGCTCGAGGTAAGTACTCGTATCAGAAGTTAAATTTTACATTACATTATCCAGATTCCCATGTGTAGTGATTAATTTTAGATATTGTCTGTGCAATTCAATTTTGACTCCTGAGATTATTCAAAAATTCAATTTCTTCATTAGATGCGAATGACAGATAAATTGATAGCATGTTCAAACTGTTACTAGATATTTTATCCACGAGTATCCTTTGCTGTTCAAGTATTATCAGGGTACTAGAAAGGTGTTGACTTAGAGCATGTTTGACAAAGCTTAAATTGTAACTTAAGCAGGTTAAACATATTTTTCATCCACACATTTTGTAGGATCCACGACTTACTACCCACGTATTATCGACACATTTTGTAGGACATACAACTTATAAGTACTACTAAACAGGCACTTTGAAAGGAGATTACGTAGTGGTGCCAAAAATAAGTTAAACTAGCATGAGTAGAAAAAACATGATCATAAAGTAACGAGTGATGTACTCAACCTCGGCAGAAATGAAACTTTGCGTGTATGGAGTGGTGAAAACTAGTTATTGACAATAAAAAAAAACTGATGTAATGTGTTGATTGTTCCCACTGAAACCTCGTAAGGTAATTTATTGACTAATGTCTAAACCGAATTTTAAGTTCATTTAAATAAAACTAAGGAATATTAGAAGTGCCAACAAGACCCCAACCATATGTGTGCCTGAACTAGAATTCTGACATTGTGTAAGGACCTACTAGAATTCTGACATTTTAAGTTCATTTAAATAAAACTGAGGAATATTAGACGTGCCAACAAGACCCCAACCATATGTGTGCCTGAACTAGCATTCTGACATTGTGTAAGGACCTACAGGCCAAGGGATAGGTACATTGGGATATCTAGAAATATTTGGTGACAAACCTACAGGAACAATTTAAAGAAGCAAGCTTCAATGCTTGTCAAGACAACAGAGCTTTGGAATTCATTTATTCTTTCACGAGGCTATTGTCTGAATCATATATTAAGTTGCTCTAAATAAAACTGAGAAAAATTAACACACCAACTCTACACCGCCAACCATCAATGTGTATATGCACAAACTAAATGAAATCATTATTAATAAATGAAATGCCAAAAATCGAATCAAGTCTTTCACACGCTTTCATGTTCTGTGTTGGACTGCGTCATTCTTCTGGGATTGGAGAAGATTTGCCATCAAATCCTGCTCTGTTTTTCACCCAACATCTCATATTGGTAGAACTCTCTTGAAAATCCAGCTCAAAGGATTGCTTTGATGTTTGCATGGTCTCTGGCAAAAGAAACATTGATGCCGCTAACTGACAACACTGCAAGAATGATTATGGGCATGGTTGTGAAGCCCTGGGGATTTGGCACAGCTTCGTTGCAGAAAGTTCTTATACTGAAGGGCTTTTCATGAAAGCTTCCAAATGAGTTTTTAAATTATGCTTTGGCGAGTTTGAATTCCAAGCCCTTCCCATTTTGAATGTAAAATAGCTTCAATTCCTGAGCAATTATTTCAAGAAGCTAGTACTTCTGTGAAAAGCCATTCACTGGCCATGAGCTTTTGCGGAGTCCTTTTGGGTTTTCTGGCTCCACCAAGGAAGGTTGATGGGGGTTTGGATTTCCCTACCGTATATATAAAATCAATCTCGCAAGAACAATAGACAATAGGAAGGGGTTTTCAGAGTTCTTTCCTTTCTTTAAAGAACATTTCCCTTTTGAAGTCCTCTTCCTATGAAAGGAATACATTAAAAATATTAAAGCTTACTAATGCATTTTTATCTTCACTAGTTAATTAATTATGCCAAGATTCAATGTAATTTGACTATTTTGAACCATCTAGTCTGATCATAAACTTTAATGGCGCATAATGATTGAAACTACAATGAATAATAGAACATAAAATCATGGCAAAATCTAAATCCCTTCTCCATTTTGGATTTGCTTACATTAATAGAGAACTCATCATGAATGGTTTTGACTTTTAATTGTTCACAACAATGCTATAAGTGATCTATAGTAGGCAAATGAACAATAAATGAACGGAAATGTGCAGGGTGGAAAATTTATATTTGCAGTCATCATTGACTATGGTTAACTTAATCTACTTTTTTTCTCATGTGAAACATCTTAGTCAACATGAGAGCATAATACATGTTGCCCCAATTTATTTAAGATATTTGGGTGAATTATATTTGAAACTTCTTACCTGAACTCCAATTTGTAGTTTGATTTTGCTAGTGGCAGAAAGCAGTTTTAAGTTCTTAATGCATCCAGATTTAAGAACCTTTTCCAACTCCAGGTTCTGCTGTTGGATTCAAGATGGACAGTCTTTTAAAACTCTCCGATACGCGTGCTAACAACAAGATGACACTCATGCATTATCTTTGTAAGGTAGAACCCCATCATTTTTTTCCTGTAGATTTTCATATTGTAATCTTTATGAGAAACATATGGATTTTTAAAGTATTTGTTAAATAATGACCTGATATGCAAAAAATTTCAGCACTTGTTAACAGCAATTCAAATTACTCATAATCTTTAACATCTAGAAAATTTCAGCGCACCAATTCTTTTCTAAATTATGTAATCAATAGTGGATTACAATAAATTCTCTCCTCACCCTTCTTCAAGGGATGTGTTCACGACGTGTTGTGTGTACCATGGAAATGTGTCCATAGATAATATCAGATGTATGTAAAACAGAGATTGTTTGTGTCTGGATCACTTTCTCCTTGTATCTCAGGTTCTTGCGTCGAAGTCACCAGCTCTTTTAGACTTCCATGAAGATCTTGTTAACCTGGAAGCTGCCTCAAAGGTTTGGTATTTATCTCCCCATGGATGTGATAGTCTTTAGGTACTGTTATTGGTATGTATAGTGAAGGCTTGCTTTGCAGATACAATTGAAATTTTTAGCAGAAGAAATGCAGGCAATTATCAAGGGCTTAGAAAAGGTAAAGCAGGAATTGGCTGCGTCTGAAAATGATGGTCTTGTATCTGAAATTTTTAGAAAGGTATTGGATGTCTGGCATAATTTTTTATTTTACAGTATATTTGATATTCCATGCATATTATGTATTCAATCCATTTTATGAGTGAACACCAGAGCATATCTGATGCAGAGTTCTGAAATGTCTTGAACTAGTTTTAGTTGTTCATCTTGAAGGGCTGTCCCTCCCTTTTGTTCATGCCAAAGCACAGCTCTTTAGTCCACCTCCTAACATGTGATTTGCATTTTCCTCGCAGACGCTAAATCAATTCATTGGTGTTGCTGAGATAGAGGTGGCCTCCGTAACAAATTTATATTCTGTTGTGGTAAGTTAGCACTGGATTCTCGTTTTTGTATTAAATGGTGGCATTCGGGGTTACGCATCAATGGAAATAATATCTTTCTTCTGATATTTTTGTAAATTCTTAATGCATCTGTTCTGGTGCTGTGTATTAATTGTGCAAATGGTGTTGTCATTGTTGGGCAGGGACGGAATGCAGATGCACTGGCACTATATTTTGGTGAAGATCCTGCCCGCTGCCCATTTGAGCAAGGTGAAATATTATATTTTGGTTTTCTGTCTGACCTTGATATTGAAAATTGTTGATTCAATTTTATGATTTATGCAGTTACCGCTACCCTCTCAAACTTTGTGAGGTTGTTTCGGAAAGCTCATGAAGAGAATGGTAAACAGGCTGAACTAGAAAAGAAGAAAGCTCAAAAGGAGGCTGAAATGGAGAATGCAGAGGGAATAAATCTAACAAAGAAAGGTTCAAAGGACTGAGAATTGTTCTAATATTTTCTCAGGAATTCGTGCTTCTTCGACAATGGTCAGCCCCTGCAGTTTAAGACTGTTGACCAATGCTCACTAGGTGACCATCCACCTGCCTTGCATTCTGATGTAGTTCAACTTTTGGGGAATCTCAGAAACTGATGCGAGAGGACTAGCCGATGAAGCTTAGAAACCTGAAAGTTTTGTGAAAGAGCAATTGAGGTATCAATGTGATGATGCTTTTCCGCTAGTTGGAGGATGCTTTTCCACCTGGTTTTACCATCTTAAAGAAATTCTTATTGATGTTGGAGCTGGGATTTTTCTCAAATGATTTATCAGAAGTAGGCATTTGGTCCCTCTCTTGAACGTTACAGGAGCGAATCAGTTCAGCAAATTTGGCTTAAAGCATGATTGTCTGGTTTGGTTTAAGCATCACCAATTCTGTGTATCAGCTCGCAAGAGGATATGCTGTCGGAATTGTCAAGCAGATGACCAAAATATACTGTGAAACTTGTACAGAGCTCTAACCTTGTATTCAGATGAAAAAACTAATTCTTTTTGTTGTAACATAAGAAAATAGAAATTGGTCCCTTTCTGTAGTCATATTTTGATGGGAACCCACAACATCTGTATATAGAAGTAAAGGATTAAAGAGGATGTAGAAAGTAGGTTCTGTTAGTGGAATGGTAATGTAATCCAGGTATAGGTTTAGGTTTCAAATATTCTGCTAAATTTTATTAGATTCAACTCATCATTTATTTAAAGAGGCATTTTTTAACACACTCTTGTAATTTTGGTACTCTTGTATATGGCATAAGTAGTCTATTTTTCGGTTCTTTTTGTTCTCTCTGTTGGTAGTGTGTTTTTTGAATTTCTTTGTAAGAAGACTGGATTTAATGAAGCTTGATCGAAGGGAGGGTTAAATAGCAATGCACTTTCCTTCAGTTATGATCAGTCGTCGCTCAATAGCTGCCACTTGCACCAAAATTAGTTTCCGATGATACCAATTGATACCGAAGTATTTATAGAATGAGTGTAATGGATGGCGGTATTAGAAATGCGCATTCATGTAATTTCCTCCAATATAGAATATCTGTCTGATTCATCGAGTAGGGGCACAATCCATCTTCCCTCATTCAGACAAAATAGATCATGATACTGGATTTTTCAATAATTTGAGTTTTTCATAATAAATTATAGCTCAATACAAGCAAGAAGGGTTAAATTCATCAATGGTCACCCAACTTTATACCTGATGTCATCATGGTCACTAAATTTGATTTTGTTTCACAATGACCACCTAACGTTATACTTAGTGTCATCATGATCACCCAAATTGATTTTATTTTATTATGGCCATCTAATTTCATAAAACATTTAACCATAGTCACCCAATTTCATATAACATTTCACAATGGTCACCGAACTTCTTTTCACCATTTTTATTAATTTTAAAATAGGTAAAAAGGTAACTTTACATTATATATAAAAAAAAATTTTAAAAAAAGTTAATAAAATAAAAACCTATTAAAAAAGTTACTTAGAAAAATAAAGTAAAATAAAAACTTATTTTAAAAAATAAAAATAAAATAAAAACGTAATTTAAAATAAAAGTTTTATAAATTAAAAAAATTAAATTTATGTTATATATATAATAAGAAGTTACCGTTTTACCCCTTTAAAAATTAGTGAAAATAGTGAAAATAAATTAGGTGGTCATAGTGAAATGTTATATAAAATTAAATAGCCATGGTGAAACGTTAAAAGAACTTATGTGACTGGTGAAATACAATCAAATTTGGTGGATATGGTGACACTAAACATAAAGTTGGGTGGTCATAGTAAAACAAATCAAATTGGGTGACCACGATGATACTAAGGGTGTGTCTGATAACGATTTCCTTTGTATTAATATCGAAAATCCAACTGTTGGTTCCAACAAAATTCTGTCTCACTTTCTGACAATTGCAGGGTCAATAGTTCACTTGCCAAGTTTACCCTCGTTTTCATTTTCTGATTGTCATTGAGTTTTAGTTGTTGAGGGCAGTTGTGGAATTTCGCCTGATAAAATGTCTGCCACTTACCTGTAATTCTGACATTATTAATCAGGAGAAAATGTGTAACGGTTAAATTTTTGATTAAAATTCTCCTTTTAAGCCCCACCAGACACACCATAAATATAAAATTGGATGATCATTGGTGAATTTAACGCAAGCAATAACGATCCTCTGAGCCACCTCACAACTGCATTTTCTTCTCAATGGATAAGAGCCATATCTAAGCAACATAAGCCCTCAACCCACTTCATGAATAACAATATCGTCCATTTGACAAGACTAGACAAATCAAAGCTACTTCTGATGCGAAGAATTTGCTTTTGAACACGTTTGGACAATTTTCTAAAAGTTCTTAATTAGCAAATATGTTTTTTTGACTAGAAGAGCTTTTAGAAAAAATTGAACTAAAATAATTTTCTCACTAATTTCTTCTACAAAAAGCAGAAGCAAAAATTGAAATCCACGGGTCCTAAATATTAATGGTCATTTTCCAAAAAACATATTTGCTAATTAAGAAGATAGAGGCCCGTGCTACTATCATGTAAAATAAAAACAAGAAAAAGGGAATAGAATTGAAATGGGAATTTCACGTTTTTTTCTTCCACTTCCATAGCTTCACATGATATATAGGCTTACAATAACAAACGAGTGTCAAATTTATAGGAGCATTTAATGCCGTGGAGGTCAAGCCCACTACATAAAAAATGTGTAATACAAAATATAGAACACAGCATAAATAATATTAATATTTACTATACTAGCAAAATCTTAGTCTTATTAATTTTCTACTGTTCAAATAACATTTATTTAATGGAAAAACAATAGCAAGACATGCAAAAAGGTATTCTGTCATTTTGTCAATCCAATTGCACAAATGAAAGGGTTGTGGAGCTAGTTTTCAATATATAACAAGGATAAATCCCATCCAAATTATGTCGAGAAAGGCAAGAGCTTCATATTGTTTACTTTTAAGATGCTTCACAAGTTCAAGGAAATAAAGCATTAAAACCAACAAATGAAATATTAGTCAAAGTCCTCTATGTCTCCTCATGACCAGCCTATTTACATACTACAATCCGATCGATTGCTTCAACACAATGCTCCATTTGTTAGTGTGTACAAACACCTTCCATCGGCAATAATAGGTCTTGAAGCGTCAGATTTGAAGAAATTACATGACAATGACTATTGATGTGGAAGATTGACGGTTTTATCTCCAAGAAGGGTTTCCTCGGGTACATGGCTTCAACAAAAAAAAAAAGAGGTTAGTTAATTATCACTCCACAAAAGAGAAAAGGATATGTAGAAAGGAGCAATTTGATATGTTGCTACCTGAGGTAGCTTAGAGCCGACATCCTGTAGAGGCAGGTGAACACTAAAATGTGCAATCCAATGGTATAGAAAAACGCAAAAGTTCTAGCATACCTGCGCGAGATCAGATTGTCATTTGATGGATTGCATCAACGAAGGCACAAGTAAACATTAGAGTTTTGTGTAGTAAAATATAGTAAATCAAGAAGAAGCAATAGATGTATATAATGGATATGCACTTTGGAACTCACATCTACAAAATGACTAATTTCAATTAACAGAAATATGTCTTAATCCTAAAATAGGCGCATATTGATGAGTGTGTTTTACTCACGAGTTTTATCCCATTTTTAACTTAATTATGTGCTAGATATTACGAATAGTGACGTTTTTAATGTGTTTATTAGTGTTGTTTTCTATTAGTGGTGAGATGGTGCAAATTAGGGAGAATACAACTGGAGATTGAAGTGCGTAAATCAAGGGAGAAAAAAATCAAGAAATTCAAGTTTTGAAGCATTGATTGAAAGATGAAGAAGATTTTGGTGCAAGATTAATCTCCTTTTTTACATTTTTATTCAAAATCCGATGATGTATTCAACGACGACTTTTTGTTCTTCTTTCGTTATTATGAGTAACTAAATTTCATATTAGGACGAACAATGTAATCTACTTGGAACCCTTTATTTCTTTTATTCAAGATTCTTCTTATTTTATCATACGTGTTGATTTTGCTATGAGTTTAATGCGTAGAATTACTTGATCACTAATTTGATGATTTTGTGAATCCTTTAAGAATCAAGAGATAAGTTTGAGATTTAGACCACATAGTAAAATCCGGTAAATTAGTATAACGTGTAAAGATACCTATACTAATTATTAAGATCATTATATGAATTCGTAGAACCAATATTTCATTTAATTAAAGGTCGATTCACATAGAGATAGATTAAATTAGTTAAATAGGTTCAATGAGAACTCGAGAGGGGTAAATTGAATATAATAGAAAAATTTGATCGAACACTATATTAGATCTTTGAATCTTGATTTAAGACTTAAAGGTGATCAACATGTGAAATTGTTCTGCCCTAATATCTGTTCATCATTTGAATTTTCAATTAATCTCTGTGTGTATTTTAATTAATTTCAAGTGCTTAAACCAAAAACTCACAACATATAATTTTTTGTTTGCTTTCATCAAATAGGAGTTAGAAAAATCTAATTAAGTCATAAAATATAGTCCTCATGGAAAGGATAATTCGGACTCCAATGACCACTATATTACTTGCTACGATTCATACATTTGCTAGATATAAAAATCAACAACACATATTTAGGAATTATCAGGGGCTCTTCAGGAATGTCTTTATGGGAATATGGCTAGAATGACTTGAATGATTTAACATTCTCTTCTTGCAAGAGAACGAATGGTTTGTAATATTGGTTGTCGAATTACTTGTTACGATTCATACACTTTGTATAGCTGGTTTAAGGCTACAACCATTAGTCCGATAGAAGGGTTGCCGAATTTTTTATCGTTTCTATCTTGTTTAACCTGATAATTCACTCATTGTGTGTTATCTTTTATTTTTGATTTATAAAATTTACGTGATTACCTATCAAAAAAAATCACTCCTTGTGTGTTATCTTTTATTTCTGATTTATAAAATTTACGTGATTACCTATTAAAAATATATATATATATTGGTTGCGAAGTCAAGTGGTAAAATTTTATAACCAAAATGCAGCAGTAAGGCAGCGAAAAGAATGCTGAAATAAAGAATAGAAAACATTTGATCATAGTGTAACTAAAGCTGGCACAACATGAATCTTGTGAGACTAGAATTAGAAGTAAATCAGGAAAAGAAGCTGATGAACCACTTTGCAGTTTGCAAGCATAAGACTTACGAAAACCAGAATAGTCAAGCAAGTACAGAATGGAAGAAGCAAAAGAATCACTTGGCAAACACCAAACTAACGAAGCAATCAGAATAGATTAAGCACAATCATAGAAAAGTAAGGCCAAAGACTTTGGAAGAAGCATACTTGTTACCAAGAAGAAACCGCCCACTGCTGAGGGTAATTTTATCCCTCAATCCCAGTTCCTTGTACCTTTGATCTCTTTCCTATTTAACAATCAAACATTCCCAAAACAAAAAGTTCAGGGTCCATTAACACTAAAAGGATAGCAACTAAAGTGAAAATGAAAAAGTATCTACGTAACTTCACTTTTGTAATGAAGCTAACTTCACTTTTGTAATGAAGCTAAGCAAAAAGGTTGAAAACAAACAAGTAAAACTCGGAGACGATAAATAAAGAAAAGTCACAATATCTCAAGGATGGTTTTCGCTCAATAGAAAAGATTCAAGCACCCAATATGAAAGCATCATAACTATACAAATACATAGCTGACATATTTTTTCAAAAACAACCAGAGAAATTTAAAATGTCCTAATGTTCCAAATTCCAAGTGGTTTGTGGAGACTGGAGAGCAGCAAAAACCTCATGTAACATCCAAATATCAGGAAAATAAATAGAGAAACCAAGCAAATAAAAATATATTGTAAACCAGATTGACTAAAAAGGAAGTAATAAAATGGGAGAAAAATAAGTAAAAGATCAGTAAGAAATATTGGCCACCTTCTTTGAAAATGCTGCAAAGGGATTAATATCATCCTCGTATATTTTCTTATACTTGGATTCCACATCAGAGCTAAAACCACTTTCCATGTCCTCCGCAAACTGAAAATGGCGAAGCTTTCATGTTAATATAAATTTGAAGGGCGTTATTTATATAAAATAGAGTGCAATTAGGCACCTTCTTTGATCCTCTGGAGATTACTTTTTCAGAATTGTAATCCTGAACATAGCGAATTTTTCCATAGAGTTTGACATTATCTGCTTTTGTTTTCTCAAGTTCAGAGGTCAGCAGTCCAATCTTCTCCTTCAGATGTCTTATTTCCTGTCATTTTTTGATGTTTGACGACACACAAATAAAACAGGGGATTAAACATGAGAATGAGCTAACTGCAATTATATCTTAGGTGCTATACGGGAAGAGAAGGGGGGCAGTGTAAATACAGAAAAATATTAAAGAAAAGATCAGGTAACTCATAAGATAAGACATGAACCTCTTCAGTCTCCCGCAAGCGTGCCCGAAAACGATCTCGTTGATTGCAAATCACTCTCAGCATAGAGCTCTGATCTTGATCTGAAATAGCATGTTTTTGTTCTGCATTCTGTTTCTAGTAGAGTTCAGTCACCAAAAGTTGCATGCATAAAAGCAAAGAAGCAATGCTACTAAATATGATTGACAATTTAACCTAATTAGATATTGGCATCCACTTCGAACAAAACATATATACTTCTTCAAGAAAAGCAACCTTAAATGATGAAGCTTCATAGCAGGAGAGGTCGATGTATTAAAATCTTGTAGAAGAAGAAGAGGAGGATCTTTGAAAGGCATCAACCTTTAGTTATAATATGGAACCTCAGTATCTTTTGCCATGTTTTTATCTTTTTTTCTGCACCATGATGTCTAATCATTTCCTAAACAATTTCGATACCATCTCAACGATCAGGCATCTGAGAATTATCCTTTCCCCATTTCCCCAAACTTAGACTCGTGGAATTAGCCTGACGCAAATATGCTTAGAATTTTACTTGTAAATAAATAAATTTCAAAATGAATAATTTTTTTTTTGGTTGGTTAAAATCGGAAATAAGTAGCTTATTTGAAAGTAGCCCTACCTTGGTGTCCAAATAAGTAACTCATTTGAGCCCTATTTGACAACCATTATTTGAAAACTCTTTTTTCTGCATACTCATTTTAAGTAAGTGCCAGTAACTTTTAAGCTTAGACAGACAAGGTTTTGATCTCAATTGCTGCCCAGATGACCTTGAATAGTACAACAGACAATGGTTGCCTTCTGGCCAAAGTAATATGGCTATTACCTGCCACTTCTATATCTTAAGAAGGTTCCAAGACGAAAATACAAGGCATGAGATTATAATTAAGGAAAAATTCGAGTCATTGCCAAGTTGAGAGAATTCTACTTCAAAGTATTGAGATGCAAAGCTACATAGGCCACAGGAAGAGAAAGAACACAACTAAGCATTTATATTTAAGAAAAAGATCAGCAGATAGCAGCAACAAAATTTATTAACATACTCTGCAGCATTGTAGATTAAATTATTTGGAGATGAGAATAGGGATAAGGAACCAAAAAAGACACCAACCTCGGGTTGCTCTGAGCCTCCAGACTCTGACAGGTCCCAATCATCAAAGAGAGTGCCCTTTTTATCTTTTGAACTGTAACCCTGCATTATTGAAACAATTATTTGTGAAGCAATATTCAAACAGGTTGCAAGTTGATTCCAATCGATATTTGAACAAAATCCACTTATGGCATATTTCAACCCCCAAAAAAAAAAAAGTCACTTCCATAGCTAAGAAAAACTCCAAGGCTCATGCCTTGAGCAGTTGACTTGAGCGAGCGTCATGTGAGACTTTCATTTAAATACCTCAAATCTTATGCATCAAGTGCCATTTGTCAAGGCTATGCCCATTTTTTAAAAATTCTGATTGAGGCTCGCGTCATAACAAAGCCAACAAAAAGGTCTCAAGGCTTTTGGGGCACTTTGTGAAGGCGTGCACCTCAATTGAGCGAGGAACATGCCTCAAGGCTTGTGAGGAGTGTGCTCCTTAATTCTCTAGCCGACTACCCCACTAGCTATTACTAACACATTTAAAAATTGTGTTTCCCAATGAAACCATCTAAGGAATTAGTAGTCCACTAAAGCACTAGTTACTTTTTGTTAATAGATTTTTATTTTATTTTTTTGCACACTTTAAATTTGTTTTATTATCACTCCAAATATTGTTTTCTCACGTGCTTATTTTTCATTTTAATAATTTTTGACTTTTTTTTGGTTTATGATGAGGCTTACTCGTCTGACGAAGGAAAGACGCCCCAGTAAGATTATGCCTTTTTAAACTTTCATGGCATGAGCTTTGGGGCATAGGTATGTTCTCATTCTTCTTGCCTTTTCCAGGCTTTTTATTCTTGTAGAAGATTTTGGGTCAAATATGATATGGAAGACTAGTAGGCTTTTCTAGTTCTAGCCAGAGGTTACAATTTTCTTACATGATTATTAATTGAAGATGTGGCAAGATTTGAATGATATAAGCATGTTGCCCTAGATAACAACTCAAGGTTTTAGACCAAGTGATTCAATATTGTATCGGAGCCCAAGCAGCTCAATTTAATCAAAAGCTCAAACTAGCAATTAGATTTCAGGATTGGTGTTCTCAAACGAGCCACCATCTTGCAACAACATAAAGCATGAATCCCTAATCAGTTGTATATGAAATAAATAACCAACATACAGGGCTTGAGCTACTACTCTTAAAAATGTTAACCTTTTAACATAAAACTCCAATGCTAAATTGACAATATATTGTGTTCTACTTAATCGATCTATTTTATTTTCAATGGAAAGTTATATTTGTTTTGTTAAATATTTTTATTAAGAATTTTAAATATCGTTTGTGTCTCATTACGTGCAAACCAATTTTTATATTCATTGAACTTTTTATTGGTTTGTACAGAGACAAATGCCTCAAGGTTAAATGCATAGTTGCCATTTGCACCTTTTTTTAACATTGGTTACTATGTACCAGCGATCACCTCGTGAAAAGATAAAGGAAAAGAAAATTTAACCAGCCTTTTGTATGTCATCTTCAAGCTTCTGTATTAGCTTCTGTTGATCACTGATCTTTGCTGTTAGTTCTCTGATCTTGAATTCGGCTGCTTCAAGAGAAGATGTCTTTTCAGAGAGTTTAACCTGAAAGGAGAAGAAAAACATTGTTCACCATAAGACTCAGGTAATTACTACAAATAAATACTCTTAATTATAAAATTAGTACATGATTTAATCATCTTCAAAACTTTTTCTTTGAAATTGCTTCCCCGATTCTAGTAATTTATCACATATTAATACTACACTTGAGGAAGACAAACTGCAGTAGGACATCATACCTTCAATTGTGTCAATTCATGCTCCATTTTTCGGTTCTTGTCAAGAAGTAAAGTCTCTAGTTTGCTCATCTCTTCCCCACTAGTAGCTACTTCCCAGTCTTCAGCCTCAATTGAATTATAGCCCACTGCCTATAAACATGAAATGAAAAGTTAAACTGGAAAATAAACCAGAGTTATTTTTATCAATAATTTACTTCAACTTTCAGGGGATTTTTAAAGGGAGGCCGTGTTAAACCTAATTCTATGGTTGGAATTAGACGCAAGTATTTGAACAAGGAATATTTTTAATCCATTCACATACTCCTGTTGCTGATGGGATCTATTCATGCATCAATAGAACAGAATTTTAGAGGATTTTTGAAAGGATGAAAAATCTGCAATTAGAATAACATAGTAAAAACAGAAACAAGCTTATCTGATGGTCATTAGCTTTCGTCATCTAAAAACTGAAGTTTCACATTTTAGACACTCAAATCTTCACTCGCATAGAATATCTATATACTAATTGCATATTGCAAAAGGTCTACAAATTATATTTCTTCTTATTTTGGATGAATACATCATCGTTGAATTTTTTTGCAGAGGTAGGAATATGTGGATCTCTCCATCTGTTTATAAAATCATATGCTATACATGTGCAAACACAAGTAACATGATGATTCTAACCCAATGATGCAAACAGCTATGACTAGGAAAAACTCAGGAATCTTTTCTATTTTGCACGAGGAACTTTGAATGTCAATTTTAAAAAATGTGAAAACCATAGATTTCTAATAACTTGCTATAGGTATATCTCATTTATTTGCAGTCAAATGTAAAGCATGTGATAATAAAAAATCTACTTCGGCTTATATTATGTACCCTCCATTTCACTCTATCAAATTAAATATGATTTAAAATCGTTATAAAGCTAATTTTCTATTTTGACTGAAACTGGTAAAAAATTTCACCACCTGCAAAATTTTTATTTTCTTTCGCAAATCGTCAATTAATTTTTCCGTTGGCCTTGACTGAAGCTCTTTCTTCATCTCATCAAGCTCGACTTCCTGTACATTTATAAACAAACAAGTAATAAGGGGGAGAGAAATACACCTAATCTTAAACTGACCTAAATAATGAAACAAAGTGAGTTGCTCTACCAAATATCATAAAGTAAATCTAAACATTCAGAAATATTGTGCTACAAAAAGAATGTCACAATATGTGTTCAGAATCAATGTTTAAAAGAAACAGTAATGACAATTTATAGATGGAGTCATTACTGGTTAGCAGAAATGTTTTGAAAACGGGCAAAAAAAATGCAAGAAAAAGGGTTACTTATGAAATATAGCAGTAGATTCTAACATTCCCCTGAGCTACTAACAACTAACTTGAAGAAGAATCCAAGAGGATCAAATTAGCTTGAAACTGATGAAATTTTAAGTCAGTTAGCCAAATATGAAAGCCAAGAGAGTATATTAATTTGAAACTAATTAAATCCTAAGCAAAATATGATGAGGTTATTAAAACATACCACCTGAGATGGCTCATACTGTAAATAGTTGGTCTTAAACAGGGTTTCTAGGGTTGACCAGGAGAAACACACAATAAGGCTCAAGGCAAATTTGGAAGATAGTTGGAATAAAATAGAATGTCTCAAAATAACAAACAAATACTTCAAAAAATAGGAAAAGAAATCACACCACACCCTTTACAATCATTAGTTTATAAGCGTTTCTATCTTGCAGATCATTTCCAATTTTCTCAACATACCATGTCCGAAGGGCTATAACATCAATCAATGAGGTCTCACCCTCGGTAAGCTCAAAAAAAAAAAACCCTCAGTAAGCTCAAATGTTATGCTTCAGGGACTATTCGTTCTCGCGTGCAAGCAGTATACAAGTGGAGCTATTTCTGTCAAGATTTTGTTGTGATTGAAGAGTGATAAGATACTCTCAATATTAAAATTACGGCTTTAAAGCCTCCAAAAGGCAATCTAGACTAGGCGGAGCAGCACTAATTTATCACAGCAAGAGGCATGAATGAGTCAAAGGAGAAGCTTCAAAGAGTTAATTATCATTGAGGATTGTTATTTGTTCTTTTATCTTGATGCTATACTTGGTCAAAAGGAAGTGATTGAACAGCAAGGATATGAAGCTTTGGCCTCAGTGACTCGTGAACAAATATTGAAGGTGCTCAAAATTCATCTTCTAATTCTTCTATTAATCAACTCCGAGCACTTGCAGAAATCAAGCGAGTGAAATGAGCAGACTGAGTTGTCAAGAAACACAGTTCTCTGAAATAAGAACAGACTACTTAGACCCCGCAAGTTGTTGCATGCCTGAGGAAAGCACAATGAATAATTTGATTTTTAGGTTGAAGCCAAAGTTTGGATGAGGATAAAATATGCAAAGTATTCATCCTCTCAAAGCTATCGCCATCAAGTTTCTGATTATGAACAAGCTTTATGATCAGTAAAGTGATCCTTCTTTACTTCTTTGATATATAAACGAGATTCAAAAGTTCCAGCCAAATGAACTATCATCTGAAAGATCATTGTTCGCTCTATTATAATACTTCAAAACTTCAGGACCATTTCTCAAGAAGGAGCAAATGTTGAATGCATCATGCTAGTAAAGGTGATGGAATTTTATTATTTAGGAATGTTAATGTTTTAAGAGTCAAGGGCATCTAGGTTCTAAATAATGGCAGGAGATTCATAATTTCAAGTTTCAACCGTCCATGAAGTCTTAAATCAGTATATTAGGACCCTACATAGTCCAGGAGTAAAAGCATGTTTGGAAAGTCTTTATAAACTGTTAAAATTATAAATAGATTGAAATGAGGGATGAAGTGGGTAGTGCTCGTGTGTCCCTTTAAATGTGTAGATAAAAAGTGTTTTTACAAATAGATTATAAACATGAGTACACAATCGAACTCTCAACAAACATCATATAGCTTTCAGTGAACAAAATCTATTGAGAAATAATTCACATAAGGAAAAAAAACCAAAAATAAAACATCAATTATGCATGTATGCTGAAGGTAAAATAATTTATCAGGGCAAAAATAATAAGGAACACATCATTTCGCACTTTCCTGCAGGAATACTTGTTGCATTAATATGGAAAACGAGAGAAAATACCTTCTCATTGAGCATAGCTTTAAACTTCTTCATCTCATTCATATGATTTTCCCGCTCATTCAGTAAGGTGGTTTCTATGTTATGAAGTTCCATATTCAATTCAGATATCATCTTTTCCTTTGCACTCAGAGAATTCTCGAGGACGGTATTGGAATCCAAGCTATCACTGCAGCAAAAGCAACTAAATTTTACGCAAAGCACATAAGTTAATACCAACAGACTCCAAATGGCTAAATCAGAAACAAAAATCCCAAAAGCTGGAGCTATGTCGAAAAAAAAAAAAGCAAAAATATACTAAAAATGAATTACAGTCATGCATTATAGTCCTTCCATTAAATATTGATGAGATGGTTTGCCTTGGTTCAATTTTCAGTGTACGGGGTATGACCTATTCAATTTTCCATTTTTTACCACCGCCAACACCGTAGTTTGAGCTGGAGATCAGAATGAGAAAAGACTTTTACATCGGAAATTAGAAACCACTGCCCCATAGCTTTGTCAATTTCATCTTCTGTGTACTTCTAAACATAAGTTTGATGTGAAAAAAGAGTTACAATTTTTGCAAAAAAGATCGGTACATTATGCTTTCTGCTCCAAGCTTGATGCATGCTCTAATCTCACCAATTTTGGTTAGCATTTGAAAACAACAATATGTTCTGCAGCTTTTGCTCTTAAATAGATGGATTATAAAGCCAATTAGAATCCTAGGTAACTATTTCTCGTCGCTCTTAACTACAGGTTGTTCACATGACAATAAATTTTAGATTGCGGGTGTGTTTGAGCTATATTATTTGGAATAGGAGATTGATGGAGAATGTGTGGTTGAAAAAGAAGGAAACGTTATTGATGTGATGGAAAATATTATTTTATTGAAGAATGTGTGGTTGAAAATGAATAGAAGAATGAGAATGAAAATTGTAATGTGGCTCAAACAGGGGCTGCATCTACACAGAGAAAACTGCACAGAGGACATGGGCAACTGTCATACTTAATCAGTATAATCGACCTTCAGTGGACAGAAAATCTCAGGCTCTAAAACCAAGTACAGAATATTTAAATGTTCACATTTCCAATAGTCGCTCTTAGCAAAGAGGTTCTGCACCTCCTTTTGGTTATATATTAATAAATAGCTTCATTTCAGAAATTTACGACCAAGTTAATGGAATTTAGATTATTAGTCTGCGTGAGATATAGAATAGGGAAAGAAGGAGAAAATCATTTGCCCCATGCTAAATCCAGAAAGAAGAACCTTTTATGTCCATTCTCTTCATTCACTGATTGTAACTGGGAACGCAAAAGACCCTGTGCAGGAAGGCAACCAAAATGAGAATAGCAGAAGCCAAAAATTATATCAGAATAGTACTCTGAACTTAAAAAAGTTGACACACCTTCTCCCTCTCAAGACTTAGAAGAAGAGTTTGAGCACGTTCAACTTCATCCATTAAAAGATTCACCTCTGATTGCTTTGTTGCTCTCTCCTCCTCTGAGATTATAGAATCAGTAGAGTTATGTAAGTGCCACGACAACAAAATACAACAGTATGTCACCTGAAGACTGAACTGTTACATATTGTCATGGATGTAATGCATACAAAAAATCAGATAGCGCTATGACCTGATTGGGCACGAAGCTCAAACATCTGGTTCTGGGCAAGTTCATGTAGTTTTTGCATGGCAGAAACACTTTCTTGAGCTTGGCGTAATTGATCTTGCAACATCCGCTCCCTGCATCAATACAAGCACCATGGAATGTGATTCATGTATTGAGGAACAGCACATGATTTAGAGCACATTTGAGCGGGCTTATGCCGACTGTCAAGATAAGCCCCAAATAAGCCAAATTCTTGGCTTATTTTCTAGAAATAAGCCCACCAAACATGATCATAACCTAATTCTTGCTTTCTTTTTGCTGTTTGAGTGGAAAGGGGATTGTCAGGTACAATTCATTGTGGACATGGCACATGTACTAAGAAAACAGTAGTAATAGCAAATGCGCAATCAATTCACCAGGAAACTAGTAGTCTAGTACCTTTCTTTTAGAACCTCCATCGTTTTCTGGTTCTCCTCCGCTAAATTGCGTTGCTTAATCTCCAAAATTTCTTTCACTTTTTCCTCCATCTTAATTCATATCAAACAAAAAAACACATCAAAGCAGCATTAAAAAATTTACCATAGCTTGCATCACTTGTTTATATTTAGAAAATTGCAAGTTATTTGCCGAGTGGAATTCCCAGTATTATGTTGCAACTTGAAAGTCCTTATCAGTGAGGAAAAAAAACATGATTTTTCAAAATATACGATAGACAAGTTCACCACGCGACTAGAGATATAGCAAGTGATTGTAAAAGCGGACATAACATTTAAAATGAGTGACTATAATCCAGCCTAGCACCACAAAGATTCACCATAGTTCATCCTCTGAACTGGCATGAAAGATGAGGGTTTCTTTGTTTGCCTGGAGGATTCTACAGGATTACTTATGATTTTCTTTTGTTCAAAGGATTGATTAAGCTGCGCCAATCACAATTAAACTATTATCATTTGATTAAAGGGGCTAAGAATCCTTGGCATAAACAAGAATGGAATTCAAATTCCATTCCTCTTGTAATTCCAGAGTTATATGAAACATTCTTACCTATTGATTGCACTCATTCCATTTCCAAAACTGATTTCCAAGCCCAGACAAAAAATTTCGATCCATACATTCTTAAACAACCTTTCACTTCTTATGAATTTCATGATTTTCTTAAAAACTTGGAAAAGCAAATGACGTTAATCAAGCTAGCAGGTTCAGCCAACTGGAGCCAGACATACATGCCTGCAAGTATAGCTGCTAAAAGCAAAAGCCAAAGATAAAATGATGAACCCCTCATGAAGATAATAACCTGTTGTTCCAACTGACGGCACCGCTCTTCAAGTCTTCTTATTGTTGCCTGTTGATTTTTCAGATGAGTTGCCTCTGTGCGGAACTCCTCAAGCTCAACCTTCATCTTTCGGTTCTCGGACTCTAATTCAGACAATTTGGAATCCTTCTCCTGAACACAAATTAGATAAACCCAGTAAGTAACTTGAGTGTTTTGTGGCGTATATTCTTGATTAAATGGTTGTAAATGATAAACAACCATTTGCAGTAAATAAGTATGTTTTTGACATAATGAAACATAAATTTTGGCATTCTCTATATGCATACATATTTTGGCGATTATTCTTTATTTTGCTCAGGCGTTCCACTGTTCCGACATTGTATTTTGAGAATTTTGACAGTTTGTGTATTGTAGTCGGTATCACGTTGCATCTCAAAACTTGCATCAGAATATGTGCTACTTAAAGTACAAGAATATGACGAAAAATTAAAAAAAAAAAACCACTCAAATTGAATTTCACTGTATTCACCATACTCGATGTGTTCATCCATATGAGTTTACATATTTTCATCTCTCTTTTTTTATAATAGGAAACATGATTTCATCAATCACATGATGAAGGTACATACACGAGAACAAAGGAGTCCTCTGATAATATTAAGAAAAGAAAAACATAAAAAATAAATTCAAGAGTATGCCACATTCTTCCAACCAAGAACAGCAAAATTTAAAGGCATTTCCTTAAACTTCTAAAATGTAACAGCCCATAAAGAAGCCAAGACTCTACACTCTTCCGTAAATCACCAAGGAGATGTTCTTTTTCTTCAAAATTCTGTCCAAACTACCCAAAGAATGAACTTTTACAACAGACCAACAAAATGTAATTCTCAAACTTCATCCATGCGGAAAAACGATTTTAAGAAACATTTTTCAAGAAAAAGTTTCGAAACATATCTGGAAGTGCTCCTAAAAGAACCCTTATTTCTTAGACCAGTTATTCTCAGTTGCCCATTGCTAATAATTGCAAGAAAAATTTGCTCATAATTGGTCCCTAGAGTCCACCTTTAAATTTCATGTTATGGGTTTTAGAATAACTTGAAAACATTAGTGGAGCTTTGTCCTCACTAAAGAAGACCTTGCTTCGGAAATGTTAATGCTGGTTTTGCAGAGGAGCTGGCATATACTTTCCCTATTATAATTAAAATCTAATGGTCAATGAGCATTTAGCACACAAACTTAACATAATTTCAAGTATTTAGGGAAATGGAGAAGCCAGGGGAAAAAACAGAGACGGTTGCACGTGGCTCAGTCCAAACTCTTGTCGTGTGATGGGGAACTAGGATTATATGTAGTCAACATTGAAAAGAAAGCATAGCCAACTTTCATAAAACTAAATTCCTATGAAGCAAGGACATAGACACGCCAACACGTGATTTTAGAAAGTAAGGCATGGGAACATGGGGACAAGTTGATATAAGCAATAGAAATTTTTTTTTTTTATAGATAATCACGTAATTTTATAATCAAAATCAAAAGATAATACACAAGGAGTGCATTATCAATTTAAATAAAATAGAAACGATAAAAAATTTGACAACCCTTCGATCGGACTAATGGTTGCAGCCTTAAACCAACTATACAAAGTCAAGTAAAACAATTTCCTAAATTACTCTGTCATCCGTATTTGGTCTTCAAAACATCTGACGTTTCGTTCTCTCCACAAACACCAAACGATGCATCCTAGAATGAGATCTCAAACAAACTTGCTATTCTTGTCTCGAAATTTTCTCTTCCATGCCCACACCACCTCCTTGATACGCCTTCGCAACACCCAACTCATATGTTGCGAAACCAGAATATCATTCCACATCCAACGAACACCGTCACAATGAATGAACAAATGATCAATCGTCTCTCCATCCCTCTTATACATATAACACCACTCTATAATACAATAACCCTTTCTTCGAAGATCATCCGCCGTTAACACCTGTCCCTTCACTACCGTATCATAAAAGCAAGACCGTAAATTTTTTCTGTTCTACCCACTCATAGTTAAGAACTTATCAACATGCCTTTGAAATTTCCACTTTATACATCATTGTTGCCAATAAGAAATTTCACTCTCCAATCCACTTTATGCGTTTAGATTCTCCATAAGTTCCCTCTTCTCCTTTTCACCTTTCTATCCCTCTTCCCCACTATTTTCAAGTTCCAACTCTTCTGCCTCTTCTACAGTCCCATGTAGTCTCCCTCCCCCTCATTCACTGTGTAGTCTCCCTCACCTTAACCTTATATGGCCATCCCTTACTCCCGGTCTGGGCTCCCATTGCATGGATCTCTCTCCACCATTAGATTTCAATATATCAAATTGTTCATATTATGTTTGGAAAAACTTCTTTGCTCTAAAGTTATGATTTCTCTTAATTTTTCTTATAAATGCGTTCGCGGTGAGTTGGCAGTATGTCCGTTGGATGCCTGAATAAATAAATAAAGAAGACATGCCAGGTGGGTGTCTGGACTTGTTTGGTGTCCATGGTCTGACACATGGGACACTGAAATTCCAGCCCTGTTGGTATGTCCATGCTTCATAGATAAATATAAACTGAGAGATGCACAAGTAATATTGTCAGCTGCAGTCACTTCACCAACACACTACAATGCCTAACCATTACATGTAAAAGATGGAACGATAATATAAGCTACGCGCATGATGAGAATATGATTCAAAATTATAAAAAGCAATATCATCCAATATCTCTGCATGAGTAGTTATAGTCCTTGAATTTAGCACTCAAGTAGGAACAGGTTCATGCTTTCTTCAGAGCAACAAGCAAGTTCAATCACCTCTCATGAAGATAAAGTTATAGTACATGTCATTATATTCGGAAAATAACCGGTACTTTGAAGGAAAGGCCAAAATGAGAAGTTATACTTACTGCAATTGAAGCAAGAACTGGATAAGGGTCTGGAGCTTCGTAAAGTTTCTGGTAAATGTTAAGAAAAGCATTTTCTCCAAATTTTGCTCTCTTCGTAAGATTATCAACCTCTTCTTGGTAACCCTTAAGTAATGAGTTGAACATGCTCAACTTTTCTTCATTTGCAGCCTTCTTGAAGTCTATTAACAGATGAAAAACAAAATTGCTGACGACATGATTAGGTTGATGAATATGGTAACCACAAATAAATGATGTATTCATAACTTCTTAAAATTTAGGAAGATTATAAAGCTGCAAGTATGACGAGTTAAGATGACGTTGAAAATCTGCAAATTATGACATGTCAGAGTAGTGAAGAACAATATACTAGTGGAGTAGTAGAAATAATACCTCTAGTGCTTTCTGCAAGCTTCCGGCGATTTTTCTGACTGTTTTCCTGGTTTTCTGCAATCCTAAGCCCTTGTTCGTCCAGGATGCTCCGCTCTTTCTCTAAATCAAAATCTGTAAAAGAATATAGATATGTTGTTGATTTAAATCCATCCCTTTCTGTTTTAGAAGCGAAAATTACCTGTATTACCTAATATCTAAACGCATTATGTCTTGTACAAGAGAAGATTGATTACAATCAACACATGGGGGGGTATACAATTTTACACATCTACAAATTTAGATTTGGATCAATATGTGTCTGACACTTTTGTTGAAACACTTGGTTCAAATTCAATTTGGTGCAAACTCCCCTGAGGACGGTTAAGATTGGAGTCCCAAATATTTTCAGCTAATTTAGAACCAAAATACATGATCAATAATCATGGTCATAAAACAAGTAAATTTAGTCTGAAGGGATTAAAAAAGCCAAAAAAAATGGCTCCAACTGAGACCCGTTGCCCAACCTTTCAGTAAATCCCGATGACAAAATACAGCCTTCACTAGTAATTCAAATAAGCTACGTTATTTAGCTCAACAGCAATACCGCAGAGCATACGAGCACTAATGTTAATTGCAGGGAAAAAGAAATAGAATAAAACTATAAGATTATAAATTAAACAACACCGAAAATTCACCTTGCAATCACGTATAATAATGCTTAAAACACGGGAAAATCATAACTAAACCAGATAAAAAACATTACCTAAACGATGATAAGAATTAAAAATGGGAAATTTTCCAGAATTTCAAAATAAAAGTGAGGAATTCTACCTTTCCAGAAAGTAGCGACGGCAGGAACCGGAGTGGAAGACGACGAAGAGTTCGAAATCTCTCTCTCCGATCCTCCTCCTTGCGACGCCTCCATTGTTGATCTCACTGTAACACCCTCCACCTCTTCTTCGATTCACTATGTATGTATAAACAATAATCAGATGCTCAATCCAATGCCCAGAAATTTGTAATTGTAATTTAATCGTTACAGAGGCTTTTCTAGGTTTGATGGATCTGGGATTCTCGATCGAGTATATTTTACCATTTTTAATATTAATAATAGTTTCCTTTATTGAGTTGGAGTGATTAATAAGATTTTTATATTGTTTTAAAATATAATTTATTTGAATTTATTAATTTTTTATATTGCTGAATTACAAAATCTATTTTCGAAAAATATGGTGTTTTCCATTTCTACCCTCTCAATTAAACTACTTTGAGATTACTTTTGGATTGTTTTTAACCTTTTTTGGGGTGTCATACAATTACTTGATTAATCTTTTGTTTTCGAGAAACTCATTCTAGAGAACATACTATCCAATTTCAAACATATTTAACTAATTTATAAATACTTTAATAGAAGTTGTCTAATAAAATCATGCATTTCTTAAAACGTACGAGTAACGGAAAAATAAAAGAAGAAAATATCAATTTATGTGTTGAGATCTTCCTTGATCCTCAACATTTATTCTTACGAATTTGCTATACGATGTATAGTTATACACACATACACACACACGTACATGCCTACTATTGCATATTAACTAATTTGTTATGTTGAGGGATGTTAACGAATCGGCTCGCGAGCCGAAACTCGAAGTTTGAATAAAAATGGTTCGAGTCAAGATTTTGCTCATCCAACAAAGTTAGACTCAACACGAGCTTTTAGATCGAACCTTATTGAGTCAAATCAGCTCGTGATTTGTTTTGAAGGCAATAGGCACTGTTGCTTGCTATTGCAGGTAGCCACGCAGCTGCTTACTGTCGCCACAAGCAGCGGTAGCTAACTACAATATATAGCTGCCTTTGTAAAGCAGCTACATGGCAGTTATATGATTTATATTTTCTAAAAAAAAATTGTTTACGGGCCGACGCTTCAAAATGGGGCTCGACCGAAGCCTCGACTCGAATTTTTCTCGGGCCGAACCATAGGCTGTCTAAGTCAACGAGCCAAATTGACACTCCTAGTTATATCTAATATTGTATTTGTCAAGCTTACCCTTTGTAATACATTCCAAGTTTGCAAGTCTCGATCAAATCTGAACATGACAATTTAAAACGAAAATCACCCTTATTTTGCAAATCTTATCATTCTTCTTTTACCTTTTTAATATTCTTTAACTAGAATTTGAGAGTGTTCTAAACTTGTGAAATGAGAAATGGAGAGTGACAACTCCTCTCAACATTATGTAAAAAATAAGTATGAATAAGAATTATATAATCAAATGGGTATGATAATCATTGTTCTAAAAAGTGTAAAACGTGGCAATATATGATGTGGATGTCAAGTTTTCGAGCTAGGCGAATCACAGGCTGCCCAAGTCAACGAGTCAAATTGACACTCCTAGTTATGTCCAATATTGTATTTGTCAAGCTTACCCCTTTGTAATACATACCAAGTTTGCAAGTCTCGATCAAATCTAAACATGACAATTTTAAAAGAAAATCACCCTTGTTTTGCAAATCTTATCATTCTTCTTTTACCTTTTTAATATTTCTTGAACTAGAATTTGAGAGTGTTCTAAACTTGTGAAATGAGCAATGGAGAGTGACAACTCCTCTCTCCATTATGTAAAAAATAAGTATGAATAAGAATTATATGGGTATGATAATAATTGTTCTAAAAAGCGTAAAACGTGGCAATACATGATGTGGAGGTCAAGTTTTCGAGCTAGGCGAGCTAGGCGTAAAAAAGCATAAAAATGTGTTTTCTTATTTTAATACTATTTTAAATTTTTAAATCAATCTAAAAATTATTTAATAATTAAATTGGAAAAAAAAAACGTTGAAAAAAACACGCCTAGACAATAGGCATAAAATAATAATAATAATAATAATAAACAAAAAAACAAGTAAAATAGTTAAACAAAAGCATGAGGCAGAACATTTTGCTTCTAGACGTCGCTTTTTAGAACACCGATAATAACATATATCGAAAAATCACAAAATTGATACCCCTTATATTCATATTCATTACTGATAATAACATGTATCGAAAAATCACAAAATTTATACCCCTTATATTCATATTCACGATTATGGAGGTGTGGTGGTGGTCAAAGGTAGATGTAGTTATGTGTTCAGTGTGTGTCTACTATGCTTGTCTTGTTTATGTATTTAATAAAAGTCAGTATATATAATAGAAAAGTATTGAACGTAAGTTTGAAATTTTAAAAATTTGAGGGTTCGGATGTCATTTCCACAAAGTTATTATTTCTGTGTAACGTCTTGTGCTTGCTTGGCTAAGGACATGCCTGCGGGTGCTTATAAGTAATTATAAATTGCATACCTCACAAAATATGTAAATAGTAAGTTGTAATTATGTTCATGTTTGGTCCGAATTAAAATTTGACTTTAATTCAAGTCAAAGTCAAACAATCAATATTAACTACATCTTTCATGAGTCCCACAATTTTTTAACCACACATTTCAAAAACTTTTATCACAATCTACTAAAAATCAAATTTTAACCTCCAATTCCACCAAACACCCTCTATATCTTTGTCAATGTGAGACTATCTACAAGCAATGTATTCCAGGAAATTTGTTGTTAAAATTTATAAAAGTTGTGGGTCCTAAAACTATGTAGTTAAAATCTATGTTTGATCAACTTTTAAGTACGTTGTCATAGTCACTTTGTAATTTATCCCATCGATGTGAGACCAACTACAGATCAGCTTATTCGTGTGAAAAATGCTCATTTGTAACTAAAAATTGTTTAGCCTTTGTTCGGTTTAGTTATAAAAGTTGATAAAAATTTAAGTAAAAGTCAATAAGATATACATTTCATGAGATCCATGGTTTTTTTAAACTTTTCAATCACATATTTTTTCAACTTTTATCAAAATTTACTAAAAATTTAATTTTTAACAAAATCAAACATTGAGCTTAATAACAATCGTGCAAGTAAAGAATTAAAAGGTTTCGACGTGTATTAGGCAGGGGCATTCCTTAACAATAGTAGTAGTCATGAACTTGTTAGTGTAATTAAAAAAAAGGTTAATCCATTTGTACATAATGGTTTGTACATAACGGACTACCTCCTCTCACGTAATGCGCAGGGCCCGCATGTATTTAAAAATTTCAATAATGTGGTCCACATCTCCATTGTGAATAGTAAGTAAAAGATTCGGTAAAAAATATCGATACACGTAGCATGATGATGATAATAATAATAATAAATCACGACCAAATTTTTGTGTGTTATTTTTAATTGAGATTGTTTATTTATTTGTTAATAGAATACAAGTATTTTCAAATTTGTTACATCCCCTCTAAATTAGATAGAGCAATGAATAAATGCTTACATACGATGCTACCATATTTGGTACAGTATAATCAGGAATGCCTAGTTGATTCACAAGGAAATATAATTTTATAATATTTAAAGTTTTTCGGTCGCTACAATAGGCACTGCTGCTTGCTATTGCGGGTAGCCACACAGCTGCTTACTGCCGCTACAAGTAGCAGTAGTTACTTGCAATACATAGTTGCATGTGCAAAGCAGCTACATGGCAGTTATATGATTTATATATATTTTTAAAAAAATATATTTCATGGGCCGACGCTTCAAAATGGGGCTCAACCAGAGCCTCGACTCGGATTTTTCCGGGCCAAACCATTGGCTGCCGAGCCAAATTGACACTCCTAGTTATGTCTAATATTGTATTTGTCAAGCTTACCCCTTTGTAATACATACCAAGTTTGCAAGTCTCGATCAAATCTGAACATGACAATTTTAAAAGAAAATCACCCTTGTTTTGCAAATCTAATCATTCTTCTTTTACCTTTTTAATATTTCTTGAACTAGAATTTGAGAGTGTTCAATGGAGAGTGACAACTCCTCTCACCATTATGTAAAAAATAAATACAAATAAGAATTATATAATGAAAGGGGTATGATAATCATTGTTCTAAAAAGCGTAAAACGTTGCAATACATGATGTGGAGGTCAAGTTTTTTGGCTAGGTGTAAAAAAACATAAAAATGCATTTTCTTATTTTATATTATTTTAATTTTTTAAATCAATCTAAAAATTATTTAATAATTAAATGGAAAAAAACATTGAAAAAGACTTGCATAGACACTAGGCATGAAAAAAAAAAAGTAAAAAATAAAATAAAAATAATAAAACAAAAGGATGAGGCAGAACGTTTTGCTTATGGATGTCGCTTTTTAGAACACTAATAATAACTTATATCAAAAAATCAAAAAATTGATGCCCCTTATATTCATATTCACGATGATGGAGGTGGTGGTGGTGGTCGAAGGTAGTTGTAGTTATGTGTTCAGCGTGTGTTTACTATGCGTGTCTTGTTTGTGTATTCAATAAAAGAGTATTGAACGTAAGTTTGAAATTTTAAAAAAAATGAGGGTTCTGGATGTAATTTCCACAAAGTTATTATTTCTATGTAACGTCTTGTGCTTGCTTGGCTAAGGACATGCCTGCGGGTGCTTATAAGTAATTATAAATTGCATACCTCACAAAATATGTAAATGGTAAGTTGTAATTATGTTCATGTTTGGTCCGAATTAAAATCTGACTTTAATTCAAGTCAAAGTCAAACAATCAATATTAACTACATCTTTCATAGGTCCCACAACTTTTCAACCATACATTTCAAAAACTTTTATCACAATCTACTAAAAATCAAATTTTAATCTCCGACTCCACCAAACACCCTCTATATCTTTGTCAATGTGAGACCATCTACAAGCAATGTATTTCAGGAATTTTGTTGTTATATAAAAGTTGTGGGTCCTAAAAACTAGGTTGTTAAAATTTGTGTTTGATCAACTTTTAAGTACTTTGCCATAGTCACTTTGTAATTTTATCCCATCGATGTGAGACCAACTACAGATCAACTTATTCTT